TTTGGGTGTGGTGCTCAAACAGATAAATTGTTAAACACAATGTGTTTATGGGCGTCTCTCTTGGATTAAACAGGTGGATTTAAAATGGGTTTGGTCACCATGTAGCGATGCACTGAAGGGGAACATCTGTTTGTTGTGGTCGATATAATAACTGATAATATTATTCTTACAAATGCAAAAATGTGAGGAGGGAAATATATTTTTAGATTGAGATGTTTATTTTTCTAATGCAACATCAATATTTAGATAATAGACTTCACCAACTAACTGAAAAACGTGAATTTATTTTAAACTTGTTATTGTTATAATCTGAGATTATTTTTTAATCTGCAGACTAATTAATGCCAGAGCTTCTCTCCTTCTTGACAGCATGTCTCTGCGAACTCTACATCCTTTTGGACTAACTGATGTTACCTAAAGCTCTTGGACTGTTCAGAAAGGATGCAAACTGGCTAACAGTCCTGTGTCTCGGTCCTCCTGCTGCTGATGCAGACTAGAGACTGCAGACAGGTACCGCTGCTAGAGAGAGGAGGGCTGGTTGCTCTCAGCCTCCAAGTTCATTATCAGACACAGAGCCTGAAGAACATTATCACACCCTGTTTAAGTTCTTCACTTCTGTCACATTACAGCCTGGAAATTAAAATACACTGTATCTAGCTTTTCTCTAGCTGTATTTACACATGATAATCCTCAAATGAAAACAATTATTAAAATGTAAACATCATGGAAACAGACACCAATACAGAGAGCAGAGGAGAGAGAGGCAGAGAGGCGACAGTCATTTTCAAAATGAACTCAAGCTTCACATGTTTAGCTGAGGCTGTACTTACTGATGATGTTTTACTGGTTTGCATTATTTTGTCAGGTGTACCTGAAGTGGCAGACAAGCCAAATCTCTCAGGGGAAGCAACTGTTGCGCTGATGGCTAAGGTGACCAGTCCAATGGTCTGAGTCAGCTATAAGACAAGGATTGTTCCTTAGGCTACATACTGTACAGTATTTGTGAACAGCTACATCCTGAAGTTCATTGTCAGTGTCTACAACAATGAATAAACAGACAGTGCAGATCAACAGATTGCCTTTTTCAGAGACCTTTGGATGCAAAGACAACTACTTAAGCAATAATGAAAAAAAGAATGACTCACAATCATCTGATTCAGCTGTGACAAACCTTTTATTTAGGAACAACAAATCCAGAATAAAGCGCAGTGGCACTGGGCTGATAATGTGCAATGAATTAATCTTGAACTACAGCTAAGGGACCCGTCAGTAATAGGCTACAGTGATGTAATGTCACATATACTGTATATGAAGGTGGATCAAACATAGCTGTTCTTGAATGTTTAATGGCGTACAGATGAACAAAGTATTTATTTTCATTCTTTACACACATTACACAAGACTAATATGGTAAGCAGACAGTTGGAAAAAAATCCAACCAAAAAGGAATAAAGCTCAGGAAAAGCAGCAGAGGAGGGATCCTTCCTCCCAGGAATGACAGACAGGAAGTAGATGTCACGTCATCACAATATTTACAAATTTTGATGACGAAATACAGATAGACTGTCTCCATTTAGGCTCTGAGGAAGAACAGAGGAAATGCTGACATCTGCTGGCAGAAAGCAGCTGCAGCAGGAGCTACAGAACATGAAGGCTGGTGAGAACGATCGTTCCACAAGGTGGTGCTGCTACAGAAAGCAAAACAGAAATGTCCATTTAAATAAGTCAGTGGTTCTTAACCTGGGGGTCGGGACTCCCCTGGGGGGGACACTGCTGGTAGTAGGCTACCACCAATCCAAGTAACTGTACACTTCTATCACCACAACTGAGGACCCGTCTCTCCATTCATTAGATTGGACAATGGGAAAAAAAACGCGAATGACGTCAGGCACGAGTTGAATTTTTTTCAGCAGCAGAAGGAGTGGAGGAGTCTCAATGTGTCTGCAGAGGCTGTGTAGAAGGACAGAGCAGCAGCAGAGCAGTCCAGATCCACTGATGATACTCTGTCACATCCAGAGGAACACACAGGGATGATGGTGGACTTGACTTTGTGTCTGACAGTGGAGCTGATCTCAGAGCAGTTCAGACTGCAGCACTGTTGGGATTCCTCTGTCAGTCACTGCTGGATGAAGCTCTCCTCTCCACTCTACCTCCCAGTAACATGGCCCAGTCAGAGCCTCTCCACACACACAAGCTGATGCTGCTGCTTCAACCTCTCTGGATCATCAGGACACAGCAGATCCTCTCTCAACACCACCACCTTTCTGATCCCTCACACTCTGACAGAGATCACCTCCAGCTGATGAGAGAAGAAGACAGAGAGCAGAAGTCATAAATAGAGATATTCACTTCTGACTGTAATGATGGATTTACTGCTGTTAGTGCTCAAAACTGTTAAAAACAGCGGCTCAGTCACAAGATATTTCATCTACTTTGAAATATTACAGGACAAATCTGTAAATATAGAGTCTGTTCTAAAAACATCTGGACCAAACTACAGACACATGGACAGATATAGATATGATGTTAAAGGTCCTACAACAGCTAAACATCAGCTGTGATTACTGGACTTCAGCAGAGGTTCTGCTCTGTAGAAAGACCACATGGTTACTAAATGTAATGATGGTTCTCTGAAATAAGAGCCAGTGATTTGCAGGCTTCAGTCAGACTGATCTCAGAGCTGTGACAAAGATGTACTGATCAGTAGTTTAGTGTTGAAATGAGAGAACAAACACTTTGAGATCAGATTTGATGGTATGACAGTTTGATGAATGAGGACCACTGTCTCTATACATCTTGTGATGCTGTCAGCTGGAATCCAGCTTTATTTCCTGGAGACATGAACACAACAACAACAGTCGTCTTCATATCAACTCAAACACATGATCACTGGCTGTTCTCTCTCTCTCTCTCTGTCTTTCTGTCCAATCCTGAAGCCTGTCACCATTCTCCTCTCACAGCTTCACTGAGGAAAGCAGCCGCTGAGAAGGTTGGAGGTTTACAGGAAATACTGGATCTCTGCTTTGATACTAACTGTGTTTTGTACAATACTGCTGAAACCAGCATGGACTGACTCCAACCCTCTACTGACCTCAGAGTCTCCAGTCTGCAGTGTGGACTCTTCTTCAGATCAGACAGCAGCTTCACGTCTGAATCCTGCAGCCTGTTTTCAATCAGGTCCAGCTCTCTCAGATGGGAGGGGTTGGACTTCAGAGCTGAGGCCAGAGAAGCACAGCTGATCTCTGACAAATAGCAGCCTCTCAATCTGTATGAAGAATAAATTGTGTAACTTTAGAAGACAATGTTCCTGCAGTTCCACCAGTGGCTCCATCTATCAACATAATGTTTGTATACTTGAATGTTCAAGTATTTTATACTGTCATTACTGTAGTTTCATACTGTCCATTACTTCATCACCACCATTCACCCTCTGTCTGAACAATCCCTTTTAGCTCCACACACCAGAGACCCACACATAGCTTTCTCTTTAACTTAAAATGCGGAGCACAATAAAGCACATGCTGGACTGTGTGCATCCTGGCGATTGGTCCACAAGCAGCTGGTTGCTAAATAAAGAAGGGTAAGCCTACATATTAGAGGGACCTGTGTGTCACACGTAAAACCCAACAGGACAGTTTTGTCCACCCATATTTTCTCTCTCCCTATGCTCCTCAAAAATTATTGTTTCCTCAGTAAATAACAGCTGATAGCTGCTGAGTAAAAGTAAAGATCAGATTGACCGGCGACATGAATTCAACCTCGGACATCACTACAAAACCAATAATAACCAATGTGAATTAGAGAAAAGAAGCTAATTTCCATCTGAAAACCATGCTCTAAGCAACGGGAGGATTCTGTTATTTTTCATCATCTGAATTAGATGTTACAGTGTATAACCTGCATTTGTTCTGCAGAGACTGAAAACACTTTTAATACGTGGTTAATGGAAAGTGAAAGTATGTCTTACAGCTTGTGAGAGGGCACGTTGAACATGGACATGAAATGTTTGCATTTGTCTATCTCATTAAAATTTGGCACAAGTGCACCAGCTAAAGCTCTCCTGCGTAACCGCATGTACACAGCTTGGATGAATTTTGGAAGCAACATGCATAGTGTATAACAGACTAGTTAAGAAATTAAGGTATGAATGGCACATGTAACCAAGTAAATGTAGATTACCTGCCCAAAAATACTCCAGTAAAGAGTAAAGTACAGTTTTTATAAAAGGAACATGAAAAGTTGCCAACGTCTATTTTACTAATTTTACACATTACTTGTAACATGTTCCTACCTACCCCTGTCACTGGCACCCTCACTTCTGTCTTCACTGGTGGCAATAGAAGCAGCAGCAGCAGGAAAATAAAAATCTATAATGTTGAGACTACACCCCTGTGTTTCCCTGTTCCCTGTGAAGACTGTGTGGGGGTCTTTAGATACAACGGGGACACATATTTTTGTTTATAAAACTTGACAAAGGGCATTTTGCATAATATGGGTAATTTAGGGTATTAAATGTGTAGTTCAACATTGCTCTGCCACATTCAATGGACTAAACCACTGAAGAAGAAAATCAACTTATCATATTCAGTGTGGATCAGTATAATATCAGCCTTATGTCTGCAGTTTAGTGTCACCACAACAACAATCATATAAATCTCAGCACAGAAGAAAGAAAATGGTGTCTGACCTCAGAGTCTCCAGTCTACAGTGTGGACTCTCCAGAAAACCACACAGCAGCTTCACTCCCGAATCATACAGGTCATTGTTAGTCAGCTGCAGCTCTCTCAGATGGGAGGGTTTGGACTTCAGAGCTGAGGCCAGAAACGCACAGCTGATCTCTGATAAACCGCAACGCCACAATCTGAATACAAACATAAATAGAGATAAAAATCAATTTATAATGCAGTCAGAGGTGTTCAGGTTTTAGATGTGTAGCTCCTTTGGAAAAGGGCTGGACTGGAATTTGCCCAGTGGGTTTACGCATCAGAGAGGCTATTAATTTAAAGAACTGATTAATTAATTAGAAAAAATTTTAAATATTAAACGACCGGCAGCGGCCTATTGATTAATTTTCCAGCCCTGCCCCGAGCTCTCTTCAGGTTGTATTGTGGCACGTTTCCATTGAAGTGGAACCTATAGAAGTTGGGTTACAGCTGCCACAACCTAGCCGAATGACTGGAAAGAAGGAGAATAGACGTCTATTGTGGACAGCCAGGCCTTTTATTGGATTCCATTTTGCAACTGTTAAAAGATCTGACTGATGAGCAGCAGTTGGATTTCTGGTGAGTCAGTCCTCAAATTCTTTGTTAACCCAGACATGTATTTAACTTGGACCTAGTTTTCTAGTATTGACACTGAGCCACTCTCTACCCAACTTCGGGACAATGCACCTGCTTCGAGTGGGGGAACCACCATGAGGAGATCCAGTTCCATATGAACCCCTCCTATCATGCTCCCATGATTGTGAGTCAGACCTGGTTACAGATTCACAATCCCCACATCAACTGGAATGCTGCTAAAGGATGGAGAGTTGTAGTTCCTATTGTCATTCCACCTGTCTAAGTCAGCTTTTGCCTAAGTTATTGCACTAGCTGTTCCCTTGGAGCTGAATCTGCTTATCTCTCTTCCATCCCACCCGATTATCATGATTTAGGAGAGAAAGTCCTTTCTCATCATGTTTTCACACCATCCTCATGATTCTTCCGTAGATCTCCTTCCTGGTGACCCTCTGCCTTCCAGCAGGCTGGACAACCTGTCTGGGCCTGAAAGAGAAGTTAGAGATAAAGATGATATACAATGCCCCCAGAGCATTCCAATCACCCGTTAATGATTGTCGTGATTTCCTGAATTGTCCTGTCCTCATTTTTTCCAGGAGTGTGAAGGTACACACTGTCCATATTAGGCAGTATCTCCAGGGACTATTGGATTAAGGTAAAGGTACTTTGTCACATACACATACATGTTGCGAAATTCATTCTCTGCATTTAACCCATCCCTCGAGGGAGCAGTGGGCAGCCGCTTTGCAGAGCCTGGGGACCAACTCAGTGTCTGGTCAATGGCACTGACTGAAGAACCTACCTAAAATGTTTTAGATGGTGGGGAAACTGGAGCACCCAGAAGAAATCCACACAGACACAGGGAGAACATGCAAACCCCACACAGAAAGGCTGGGGTTTGAAACCGGGACCTTCTTGCTTTGAGGCCACAGTGCCATCCAATGGACCACCGTGACACCCTAATTACAAACTGACTGTAAAAGCCGAGAGCTTCTTGCACTGAAACTTGCCATGAAGGAATGGAGACACTGGCTGGAGGGAGCTGAGCACCCATTCATTGTATGGGCAGATCACAAAAACCCATCCTACATTCAGACAGCCAAACACCTGAGCTCCCATCAAACCCAGTGGGCTTTATTCTTCTGAAGAATACAATATCACCATCACTTACCAGTAACATTCAAGTAATGTCAAGCCCAACACCCTGTTACGTCAGTTTATCTCTGAAGATGTTGTCTCTGCTTCTGACACTATCCTTACCACTTCTGTTGTGGTGACCATGATCTCATGGGAGATCAAATCTTCAGTGAAAAAAAGATCAGCAGACCCAGCCAAATCCTGGTTGTGGTCCCGCTAACTATCTCTTTGTCACCCACTCTATTCATTCCCATGTTTTACTGTGGGTGCATGCTTTCCGGTCTGCCTGCTATCCCGGGTTAAACCGCCCACTAAACCGTGAGACATTTCTGATGGCTGTCCATGAACTGAGACACCCATGACTTTGTGATTTCCTGTTCAGTGTGCACTTCTGAGTAAGGCTTCTATTAGACCTCCAGCTTGGACTGCCCCACTCTAAAAGGTAATACTGTCATGTGCACTATTGTTGACAGATTCTCAAAGGATGTATACCATATGAGTGTTCACTGGATTACTTAGCTTCCGTTTCCGGTCGAGGAGGATGACCTCGCTGTTCCATCAGTTCATTCCTATCTACAATTCTGTTGCAAGATTTGGATGGATGGACATTCTGCTCTGCTTTGTTCAATGGGTTTGACTCAGACATTCTGTTAAAGTTTCCAGGAAGCTTTGTCCTTGTTATATTTGTCCATTTGAAGTTGAGAGCATAATTCAACTTTATGTTGTTGAGCTCAATTTACCCAAGTTACTAATAATCCATCTTGCCTTAACATTTCCCAGTTAAAGCCATTGTGTGTCAGTCCATTAAACTCTCCGTCAGAACCCCCCTCCTTGTGCCCGGGTCATCAATAACTATCCTGTCTTTGCCGTTACCAGTTATATCCAGTTGACTCATATTGGATACCACCCTCATCCAGGATTTTTATCGGGAGCACCTCCATAAGCCTGAATATTCCTGTGACTAACACTTGCTTTCTAGTGCTCCAGCACCACACTCACCTGCCTGCTCAACGAAACCCTGCCTCCCTGTTTTGACAACTGCACACATTAAAATAAAAGGAAACCATAGAAATATTTCTATTTCAGCAATACAATGTTGAAAAGAAATATTAATTCAAAGGATCTACTGTATACAGAGGCCATTTACCAATTATTATAGACATTAATTTACTTTAACTAATAGCTTTTAGACATCTTTAGATAAACTAATAGACTTTTTCTGCAGTTTCTTTAAGAAACAAGTCTTTTGTGACTGCAGACTAAATTTAGTAGAAAAAACATGAAGTTATAAGAATAAAAAGGACATTTACAACTTTGTGGATGGAAGTTATGTATGTTTATTTAACATAGAACATCTAAAATTTTAAAGAGTCAGTAAACTGACCTCAGATTCTCCAGTCTGCAGTGTGGACTCTCCAGAAAACCACACAGCAGCCTCACTCCTGAATCGTACAGGTAGTTTCCAGTCAAGTCCAGCTCTCTCAGATGGGAGGGGTTGGACTTCAGAGCTGAGGCCAGAGAAGCACAGCTGATCTCTGACAAACTGCAGAGCCACAATCTGAATAAAGAATAAATGATGTAACGTTAGAAGACAATGTTCCTGCTTGAAATCATTCAGTGTTTAATAATCTGTTTAGAGCTGAAGAAGGTTTAGAATGTAGAAGTTTAGAAAATGGAAACTCCAAACACCTGAACCCAACAGGATGCAGGTTCAAACTGTAAAATACAAAAAGGTAAAAAGAGCTCTCATTAATATTAATGACAAGGTGCTGCTATACAACCACCTATACAAAGTGAACTTTTATAAAATAGATTCGGGAACTAAGGCCACGCCTCAAACTCAACCAATTTCCGCACACCTAGTACTAGTAGCAAAGTTCACCTCCCCTCGTCTCGGCTTTTCTCATCCCATTTCTTTTTCGCTCTCTCTCTCCCTCTGCTCCCTTCCTTCTCTTTGTCTGCATACAGGAACTGGGGGGTGGGGGTTTCTGCACGTCTGCGGACTAAGAGACGGCTCCCCCACCCGAGTATCGACTCCACCGGTTCCCGCACACCTTCTCACCAGTAGACACCGGTCTGCTCTTCATTCACGCATCCATCGGTGCGGATCTGACTCCTGCCCTTCATCCCCCACCTGTCTTCCCCTCAACCCTTCATCCATCACACCTTGACCCCTACCCCTCATTCCTCGTCCCTCTCCCCATCCCTACATCCCTCAGCCCATCATCCGGGCACTCAATCCTTTCTTTTCACGCAATCTATCTCGGCTCCATTACAAGCAATAAACCATTGTTAACCTTCTACGTTCATAGGCGTGTTAGTGAACTCGTGTTGTGCAGCCAAACACAAAAATAAACCCACAGAAATTGATTTAAGATTCCACTCAAGATCCCAAAGTTTCCAAAGATGCCAAATATGTCAGGATGAACTTTGGGAAAATGTGAACAAAATACATCTACAGTATTTCTTTTAGGAATAGTGGAGTCATCAAATCAAATCTTCATTTTAAACTATTCAGTCAGTATAAGCAGTATATAGCTTCATAAAAATGTTGTAAAAATAAATACTGAATATATTTGTTATTGATGGTTGAAATAGAGATAATTTATTTATTAATCTCAGCACAGAAGGAAAAAATGGTGTCTGACCCCAGAGTCTCCAGTCTACAGTGTGGACTCTCCAAAAAATCACACAGCAGCTTCACTCCTGAATCCTGCAGCTTGTTGTAGTTCAGCTCCAGCAGTCTTAGATGGGAAGGGTTGGAATTCAGAGCTGAGGCCAGAGAAGCACAGCTGTTCTGTGACAAACCACAGCTCCACAATCTGAATAAAGAATAAATAGAGGAGATAAAAATCTGTTTGTAATCCAATCAGATGTGTTCAGGTTTTAAATGTGGAGCTCAACATTACTATGTCCTAATCAATGAGCTTTCCGCTAAAATGAGTAGAGAGACTTTGTCATTGTGTTATTTTGGATCATCATCATAATGTCAGCCTTCTACAGACATCATTCAAATGTCAGCACAACATTCATACACCTATTCATGTCAACACAGATCAATAATATGCTAATATGATAATGAGACACATGTGGAACACATTAGGGCAGGTCCAAACAATCAAGTCCACATTTCTTCTGGTGTGTCTTAACAACAGCCACATGCCATTTGTACATTAAAGAGTTATTGGTGGCAGTAGCCATTCTTCTGTCCATTCTCATTGTGAAGTGGTCCAAAACTACAGAACTTCCAAGTCTTGAGTCATTACTTGAGTAATGAGTTATCATTGGCAGGCTGAATTTTTTCTAAGACTGTCTACATTTCATTCTGACACTGGCTTTCTTTATTCTCCTTCTTTGGAGTGACATCTTCAGTTGTTGCCAAGACCTGGGGCCTGTACCACAATGCGAGTTCTACATACCCAGCAGGGATCAAAAATAATGGTGGCTCAATGGCCCGGGGCCAGTAAAAAGTAATGTTGGGACTTTTGAACTAGCAACTCAAAAACATTAGAATTAAAATAATCGCATTAAAAACTCAACATCTTGCAGTTTGTTTGCAGAGCTTGGCATGCACAGTTGGCCCTCTTAGCCTACAATGACCCTGCTTCTCAACTGATTTATTCCCTGAGTAAACACTTTTCTAATGAGTTTATGGTCTCAGTCGCTAGTTTCAAGTCTTGATGTTAATTTAGTACATAAACAAACATGTTGGCCGCATCGGCAGCTGGTATGTCATTCATCATAAGCCAGTGTTTCCCATATATTGATTTGTTTGTGGCGGCCCACAACAGTATCAATTGTAACAGTCACATACTGATTTTTGATTGTTTAATACTAGGCCTATATAAAAGCATATTTGATTGCAGAGCTGGGTGCAGCGCATATATTCGCTCAGCACCTCATCTCACTCGCTCGCTCACTCCCTCTCTCTGTTTCTCTCTCTCATGAACACCGCTGCACAAATCTGTCCAACACAACACTGCCAATGTTGGAGACCCACTTTCAAAAAAGTTGCAAGGATGTAAGGAGCCTAGCTGATAAGGATAGCCAGCCTATGTTAATGTTGAGTCACTGCTGGTTTGTTGATGTTCGCACACTGTTTATAGCTGGTAGTCGGTACAACAAGGCACAAACAAAAGGAGCACTAAATGCAAAATAGGTTAGTAACCTGAAGTTATTAAACATGTTTAGCTCAGCATTAGCCACCTAATATTAGCTTGCTTCTTTAGCTATTACCTATGGGAGGTTAACTCCGACTGTCGTTCGTTATGGAAAGATGAATGAGCGTTTGTATACTTGCCAAACTAACGTAATCATTTACGTCCTACGTTCTGTAACTAAAACAGGTTATAGTTTCAGAATTCCTTGTAGCTATGCAGTGTTATAAGCAGCCTGGTTTGAACGCAGCAGGTGATACAACAATCATTATAACCACAAGTGACTTGTGACTTGACCTCTAGCTCAATGACTTGAGATTTGACTTGGACTCTAGCTCAGACTCATGTGCATCTCTGTTTGTTATCTAAAGTGTTTATCTTTGTTTACACAGAAGTTCAAACCGTCTGCAGCCTTTTTCTTCATCAGATCTTCAACAACCTCATTAAAACGGCAGAAAGTCTGCAGAAGCAGGTGGATGGGTCAAACTCTCACACAGGGGAATGGCGTTTGAGTCCCATGTGAAACCAAGTAAATGGTAAGTTTTTTTGAGTTTTAAGTGACATAGAGTTACTGACTTCTGTCACATGATTTACGTCACTTGTGTGAAGTCATGTGATATACGTCACGTGACTTACGTAAAGTAGTTAAGGTCTAATTGCCTGTCACTGGACTGGTACAGAAAAAACTGTAAAAAAATGTATTGTTTTGAGAGGTATGGACAAACTACCCATTTTGTCATTTAGTTTGGAGAACACACTCTACAGCCTCATCAGTACTGACATCATCCCACTTACAGATGGACCACAATGTAATTCTGTTGAAACTGAAAAACTGTCCTATGAAGCATTTCATTTCTCTTCTCAGTGAACTGACCTCAGAGTCTCCAGTCTACAGTTTGGACTCCTCAGTCCAGCAGACAGCAGCTTCACTCCTGAATCCTGCAGGTTGTTGTAACTCAGGTCCAGCTCTCTCAGATGGGAGGGGTTGGACTTCAGAGCTGAGGCAATGACTTCACAGTGAGTCTCAGAGAGTTTACAATCGGAAAGTCTGTTGACACATAAATGACATGATGAAAAACTTGATTTTTTTGCGATTAATTGCAATTAATTGCATTGTTACGCGTAAAATTGAATAATAAATTCTAAAATAGTGTATTGTGTATTTTTAATTTAAATGTACTGCTATATACACAAAAGTGTAATAATATGTGGTTTGCAAACACTTTAAACAAATAAGGTGCTTTTTACCAGCAGTATTCCCTTTACACAGTAGCAATAAAATATTTCTTGTAAATCTCACCTTAAAACATTAATGTAAGCAAATCAAATATTAAACCAAACCTATTTGCCACTGCCAGGGCATTACCTTTTATCTACTTTTTTTCTGAACAGGTATCAGCATCTGGTATCTTTTATCAGGGAGCAGCAGAAACAGTCTGTTCAGTAGGGCTGGGACGATGTCTACAAAACTACATTGAAACATCGGATAGACTTCACTCGGTTAAAAACTTGAAATGACGTTACAAGTCGCGGTGGATGTTTTACAAGCACAGACCAGGTAACGTAATTAAGCAACATTGAACACAGGGTGCAGATGTTGGTTTCGGCTGTTTGAGTTATTTGATAGACTGCGTCATTAACAAGCAAGCAGCTCATCTGCTGCCGTGATAACAGATCGCTGGTGGAAAAATATGGAAAAAAGATGACAGCGTGGTCTCCCGAAGCCTCCCTCCACTGCTTGTTTGGGTGGGTGATATGCAGGCTGATGAACATCCTGCCCCTCCTGTGACCCATGGTTTGACTGTATGTGTATTCAGGGCCAGTGAGCAAGGGACTTTCAAACTACTAATAATAATAAAAAAAACTGCATTAACGTGCGATAAAATAATTGTCGCCGTTAATTAATTAATGCATTAACGTGATAATAACGCGTTAACGTGCCCAGCCCTAGCTATATAACAGGACAGTTTATATTTACTTCATGCATTTGATAATGAAACACTCTGAGATATCCTGTTATATGAACATTTGCTCTTCACATCAATGGTTCAGCTAATCTTATCTCATTGTGTTTAACATGAAACAATATTTCTCATCATTCTCTCGCATTCCTGCAGACATTTAATATTTGTTTTGATTCAATCTTGCAGATGAAAAGAGAGAAGATTTATTTACATTTAGACTCTGTCAGTGTGATCTGATCTAATTTCGGTCACAAACTTAGCATGAAGCCATCTGGATTCCAATTATGTATTAAAGTCCTTAAAAATAATATGATAGCATTGGGTTCTCTGTTCAACCAGCAGATCAAACGTTACTCCACACTAAGGTTACATTAAGACTGAGCATGAGAGAAGAGATAGTGAAGTGTGCATTGGTTACAGCTTCAGGGCTTGTCAGTGACTACTGAACTGTCTCTAGTAATAATTGTGACAAAAACATTTAAAATATCGCCACTGTTGTACGTCAGTGTCAAGTCAATGTATTTGCTAAACAAACAATAACCAGTCCGCGACAAACTGGGAAGAGAATAACCGTGACACAGACACCTGTCCCCCTGTCCCCCTCGCTCAGAGATACTTTGGCTCTGTTTGACTGTCTCTCTGCTCCAGCATGTTTCCCTCTGAAGCAGCTGTGAGCTGCACTTTATCAGAGGTGCTGAAGTTAACATTTGTGTGTATTTATGGTGACATTTATTTCTGAGCACAAGTGATTTCAGGTTCGATTTTCCACCTCCAATGAAAAGCAGCGCACTTTTGTTGTGTCAGATGATCTGAAGGGAAGATCAGGCAATAACGCAGGCTTATGCACAGCAGAGTATAGGACAGACCAATTTTGTTAAAATTGCTACTACTACTTTATTCTCATTAGATTGCAACTTTATTCTCTAATATTCTTCTAATATTACGACTTTACTCTCTAAATGTCAGAGAACAGAGATACGCGTGAGAGACTTTACGTTATGTAAACAATATAAAATAAACCCTTACTTTTGAGATTCTAATGTTCTACTTGCTTACAATGAAATGCCTCCAAAACCATTACCAAAAAATTATAGCAATAATTGCATGAAAACAATTCTGCGACATTAGAAATCTCCTTTGGAAAATGATACAGATCTCAACTCTTAAACATAGCAATGAAAAAATATGATCTGTTTATCTGATCAAATAAGATACTGTGCAAAATCTATCTCAGGTAATAACTAAATTTTTACTAATAAAATATTACTACTGAAATACTGCTAAAAGTTGTGAAATACTGCCTCCAAAAAACCTGAAACATCTATAATTTTGTTCTCACGGCATTTAAAACACTATTTTGACAATACTATTTAAAAATAGTACTAAATATTTATAGATTGTATATTGAACTAAAATACTAATCTACACTAATTTATAATCGTAATCACATATGGCCTTACAGAGCCTTTCTGCAGTTCCTCACAGTTGGAATCAGTTTCTGTCGTCCCTCCTCTGATGTGTTGTATTTCCTCAGGTTAAATACATCCAGCACCTCTTCTGACATCTGCCGCATGTAGACCAGAGATGAGCAGTGGACCTCAGGGAGTTTATTATCTGATCTGTTCTCTGACTTCAGGAACTCTTGGACCTCCTGATGTACTGAGTGCTCGTTCATCTCTATCAGACAGTGAGAAATTCTGATGCTTCTGTCAAGAGATATATTTTTATTAATGACTTGTTCTCTGCTGTGAAAAATGCAGGTGTAACAATGTATCTTGACGATTCCACTGTATATTATGCAGCATCCACATGCCATGAATTGAATCGAGTTTTGTCTAGCAAGTTGAATACAATATGTGAATATTATATGTGAGTCATACTGTGGTACTCTGCTTAAGGCTAAACTCATTGAGAGTAATTTACAGAACCATAACAAATTCGGATAGTTTACCCCTTAACATTTGCCTAATAAAAAATAAATTATCCTTCAAAAACAATATGAACAGATATCTATTGGGTAGACAGATGAGAGACTGAACAGTAGGAGATATATGTTTATATGTGAATTTTATTGTTTATATGTGAATCTTTGCTTGGGCAACATTGTTTACTGATTGTCATGGCATCCACTAATGGCGATCCTGTTAGGGTGTTGTGGTGGTTGAGCAGGTGGGACCCAAATGCAGGACGCATTAATAACGCAGGCAAGCCGGACAACACACAGCAACATGGGACAGAGCATCTACACACTACAATGACCGGACACAGACTGAGGGAACAGACAAGTATATATGCACACCTGGGTTAATGAGCTGGGAGGGAGCAATATGGGTGACAGAGGCAGAGACAGATAACCCAGAATACACAGACCAGAAGTAAACACTAAGACATGAACTAATGCACAGGACTAAGAACTAAGACACGAGACAAGACAGATACTAAGTAACTTAAGAATGCAGACGAATAATAATAAACAAGGCTACACCGAATACACAGAACCAAAAACAGACTTAAACAGGAAACATGAACACAAAACTCACATTCCTTACAGTTCCTTTGAATAAACAATTAACAAATCATCACTGTTCATCTCCTTCAGGTTGTTGATGGCTCTCTGGATGATTTTGACCCACCAGGCCATGAAGGAAGCGAACAAACAGGTCCAGGTGGCCATTTTTAGAGTCAGGGGATTTCTGCATGGCTCTCCTCAGGGAGACGTATGTATATTCTTGTTTTCTTAAGTAACCATGGGTTTAATGTGCATTATTGTTTTCTTGTTTGACATATGGAGTAATTGTAATATACATATTCTTCTATAGCTAAATATTAACCTAAATGTTATAACATTTATCGTTGCAGCTAATAGATAACTTCATTATTGATTTAGCTGACAGTTCGTCTCTCTGTTGATCATTGTTTGGTTTGCAAAATGTCAGAAAATAGTGAAAAATGTCAAACAGAGAAGAACAAATATATGAAAATCAAATCCTTTATACAGCAGAGAGACAACAGAGAGAAGTCAACTTCTTTTGTTTTGTCAGATCAGTCGACTCTAAATGGAGTCTCAAGTAACTGCTTGCACATTTTTTGTTTTGTTCAGTTGCTCCATTTTTCATCACCGGTGGCTTGTACTACGAAGGGAATTCAACCTACTCAGAGTTAACTCAGGGTTAAAATGCAAACTCAGGGTTGACAAACTCTGCCTACAATGGTGTTAAACGGTACTACGGCGGTAAATAAGATGTTGGTTAGTTGAGTCGGTGTTAATTTAATTGGAGTTGGTGCGCGTTCGCTTAAAAGCGGCGTGTTCGGCCGTGCAGTTTTTTCCCCACCAGTGCATGCTCCATATTTTCCTCAAAAGAATGCACGTTGATTGTGTCAGAATATGAGGAGTTTAAAGACACGTTTATTTGACACGGACAAATTTAACAACCCGGCAGACGACAAAGCTATGGAAGCTTGTTGGCATGGCATTGAGTAAATCTGTAATTATCTTCACAGTGTTCTTATTGTAGGCTAATTCTGTATTATGTATTTTATGGACACTTCTTTTATATATCATTATACCTATATCATAATATCATTAAGATATAAAAGGTACAACTGCACATTATGTCCATTGTGATAAAAGAATTGGAGCCAGGGGAGAGGGGGAAAGAATTTCCCAAATTAATGTGAGAAACTAATAATCACAAATCTATCAAGTTAAAAACGTGAATATTCTCTGACATTGTATTTATACATTACATTTATGAGAGAAACTCTCAAATGGAACAAGGAACCACATCACTTCACTTTGCAAGGCTGCAACATCACACACACACACACACAGACACACACCTCTGCCGTGTATTATGCATGCAATGGAAAGTTATATTAGACTTCACAATCGGATTTAGAAGTGAGTAAATACTACCAAGTTTAGCCCACAATCTCTGTATTACCCTTAGACCCTAGAGTATACACCTTAGAGACTTTGCATTGGGAGTATTCAGAAGAAAACAACAGACTGATTTGGATTTTCTGTGACTTTAATTTCAGGGAATTTCCGATTTTTGTTCTTGTAAATTTTTTTGCGGTTTATTAACCCCCACCCACTCAATCTAAATATGTGAAAACAGTTAGGATACAGATGGGCTACATCTCAGAAACTGTCCCATTATTTAATTAAGATCTCAGCCCTAAACTCACAGAGGTGGCAATGCTTGCTGTATGAACGTAATGCTGTTGTGTTAAGAATAACTTTTCATTTCATTTCATTTCATCTCAGTGGAACAAATCAGGATGAAATCAAAACATATGTTATCAAGTGCTGTGTATTCATAGCCTACTTATCATCATTAACACTGGGTACAGATGTGTGGCCTGCACTACGAAGCAGGGTAACTGGCTTATCCAGGTAATTTCAGGAGTAACTTTGTGACGCCGGGTGTAACTTCCTGATTAACTCGTACTACGAAAGGTGGATAGGTGTTACCCGAGGTCTGTTGCCATGGCAATTTACACCGCATCTCTAAACTGCTCTGTTTTGTTTTTCTCTGAAGCCTCTGTGATTTTAGAAAGGAGAGCTTAATTAATTTACGGGCTAGTTTCTGAGTTGCAGCCCATCTGTAGGCTATAATTGAATTCTCCTAAGTGTTATCACATATTTAGATAGACTAAATAAATAGGCTAAATAAAGAGTCTATAAAATAACAATTAGCCTACAATAAGAACACTGTGAAGATAATTACAAATTTATTCCATGCAATGCCAACAAGCCTCCCTGGTTTTGTCGGCCGCCACGGTGTTAGATTCAGATGTTAACATCTTTAAACTCTTCATATCCTGACACTATCAACGAGTCTCAAGTCTCTCGTGGTTATAATGAATGCTGCATCACTTGCTGGGTTCAAACCAGGCTGCTTATAAAACTGCATAGCTATAAGGAATTCTCTAACTGTAACCTGTTTTTCATTTAGAGAGCACAACCATGTAATGTGCAATGCAAATAATGACTTATTAACTACTGTAAGTCAACACATCCCACAGACTCTCAAACCAGTGTAACGTTAACTAAATAAAACTATAACGTTGGCCAGTGCTGAGCTAAACATGTTACTAACCTCAGGTTAATAACCTATTTTGCGTTCAGCGCTTCTTTGTTTGGGCCTTGTTGTATGAAGTTTTAAAGCCAAAGTTTGATGAATGGCACAGCGGCTGCCGCTGTTTGTTGTCCTCTCTCACTTGTGCATGCAGCAGATGCTACGTGTTACGTAGGCAGGTTATAGGTAACACAGGGAGGGAATTAACAGCATGTTCATCAGACGTTTCCTAAAAATAAACATTGTTCACGAGTCCCGCACAGTCACCGAGCTCGCTGACCGGCAAATCAGGCTTTTTCGGGCTCTTTTCTCAAAACTCTTAAGACAAATCCACAACTTCTCACACAATTTCCCAAACTTCAAAATTTAAGGTCAAAATGAAGCTGTCCACTCAAAACCATTTAGTCTTGCTGAAAAAACAAACTTTTCCCTCAGACATAACACACAAGTCCTCAAAAACACACACTACAACACAGTCTTACACATTGGTGAGATAAATTCAAAACAATACTACAAAATCTGGTTATTAGTAATGTTTCTTGTGGTTCTCTCCCTCAGAAACGTTTCCACATGATATACACAAAAGAAATAACAAATGTAAACATTTTTCTTACATGTTTTATTCCTTAGTGTGCTGTACAGTACAATACACCAATCAACTAATTATTCTGCCCCAGCATCCCGTCTTTGGTCTGTGACAGGCCAGAGATTCTTGTTCTCCACTTCCTCTTCCTTCCTCCTCCCTCTACCTCCTCCACCTCCTCCCTTCTTTTCCTCTCTCCTCCTGCTCCTCCACCCACTCATGTTCCTCCTGTTCTTCCTCCTTCACCTGTTACTCCTCCTCCTCGTCCTCCTTCACCTTTTCCTCCTCCGCCCCCTCCTCCTCCTCTTCTCTGGTGTCCTACATCTCTTCCTTCAGATTTTTCTGGATCCATTTTTCCCAAACTGAATGAACTGACTCTGGCCCTTTTATCTATCTATTAAATCTTCTGATTGGTCAATCTGATCTATCAATCTGTGTTTATTAAGTGAACAATATCGAACGTTACTGCTTTCCCAATGACCACTTGGTGTAGGCACTGAGAAATGAAGGGATTTGTGTGTAGAGTTTAGGGAAATGGGTGTGCTTTTTGAAAAACTGAGTTATGGTACTGGTACCATACATGGTACTGTAAACGACAGAATAATAGAACATGACGCAACTGGATAGATACACAGTGTATCATGTAACAAGCAACAAAAGGTATTAAAGGTAGCTTAAGTCTTTACATTTTAACTATAAGCTAATATATGATTTACTTAGAAATGTTGTATTTGTGAATGTAATATTCATTTAAGATAAAGAGGTTCAAATATACGGGCTTTCCTTTATGTGGTAGTGTGATGTTTTTGTGCTATGGTGTTAACAGGACTCATGTACATTTCAGTTGTATATATTGTAACATAGGGTTTTACTTTGAAGGATGCAGTTAATATTTCCGCTATGATGTTTTTATTGTTCTTTTTTATGTCAAGCATCAGTAAATAGTTTTAATGCGTTTTGTTTCGTGAATGTGTTTACTCTTATAATGGTTGTTATGTGACGTGGGATTTTTCCTAAGAGGAAATGTTAGAGTATAGTGGACTTTTTTTTTGTTAACCGCACTTACCGCGCTTCGGTTGACGTCTCTTCCTCTTGGTTCAGGGACTTTCTCCTTCTCTTTACATTTTATTTGGTTGTAAATAACAAATTGAAGTCACTGAAACCCACCCGAAAAATGTCCTTGTTGACATTGTTACGTTTTGAAGTTAATTTTACTAGTTTGCATGTCTAAACCTGCTGATGACGGAAAAGTTTAGCAATCAGCATGTGCGTGTCGTGAGGCTGTTTCGTAAAGTCATAGTCTTCAATAAATATAACTAAAATAATTTTGTTCATGACCAAACACAAAATGAATGACAAATGCTTTCAGTTTCGTTATTGCAAAAACACACCTTTCCTCAACATCAATCCTGAATCTTAAGGTGTTGCTTTTGATCCACATATTAGAGCAGTGAGTGCAGCGGTAATGTCGGATCCTATTTACGCTGGAGGGAGAGGGTAGCTTGTCTAAGTTTGGCTGTTGTATTTTTCCCTACGCGGGTTAGGGAGCTCGCCTTGGCTGTGAGGGTGACTCTGACCAGAGTTCACTCCGTGTCGGAGTGGAAATGTCAAGGGTCTAGTTTCAGAAAGGACCCTACTGTTCCTCTTCCTTCACCTCTTACTCCTCTCCATACTGCGTCTCCTCCTCATCTTCTTCCTCTTCCTCCTCCTCCTCCTCTCTGGTGTCCTCTACCTTTTCCTTCAGATTTCTCTGGATCCATTGTTCTGAAACTTAATTAACTGACTTTGGCCCTTTTATATATATATCGAAGGTTCTGATTGGTGTGTTATCAATTATGACTCTTTGTGTTTCCACCTGGGTAGCTGTGTGTTAATTGAGCTCAACCTGTGCTGATTGAATGAACAATATTGAATGCTAGTGTTTTCTCAATGACCACATAGTG